GCTTTAAGATCTTCTGGATTTTTTTTTTCCAAGAAAAATGGGCAGTGCATATCTTATTCAGGCTCTCCTGCTTTTTTAATCTCATGAACCAATTCAAACTTTTTTAAAGCCCTGTTTCCATATGCGGTGCTGAGCTCTGTACCACCACCTTCTCCCTCTGACCTAGACGTGAGTGTTCTCAGAAGGGGTTAAAATGAGTCTGGAAAGGAGGGCTGGAGCAAATGCAGTCCTTCTCGAATATGGATAGAGCACTCTGGTTTCATTCTCTGGACCGTGGTAACTATCATGCAGTCTTTTTTTTCTATTAGCAATATAATCCTATCTGTGTTTTACAAAGATAATTCTGGTGGCAGATGGGTGCTTGACACATGACTTGATAACATTTGTTGAATTAATGAATGAGACAGAGAACAGAGAAGGTAAGCCATTAGAGGCCAGTTAATTAGGCCCTTTCAATGATCCAGACAATAATGAGGGTAAGTTTAGGAAAACAAACATGGAAAGAAAGTAATAAACACAGTTACTATCTGAGAGGCAGACTGATGCCTTCGTGGAGGTCATTAATTATCCTCACCAAATTTGTCTGGCTTTCCTCCTTGCTGGTAGTTGATGGGATGGCACTTCTGGTCTTGTGTTTTATTTAGCACTGCCACGCATTGTGACGGCCAGTGAGTTGCGATAGAAAGTGATGAAGTGACTTCCAAACCGGAGTATTTAATTCCCAGCCCCAAAACTCTCTTTCCTTCTGGCATCCTCTTGGCCGTGTTCAAGATAGTGACTGTTCCATCAGCTTGGACACCGAAGTGACTGTGATGAGCTAAGACCCCCTGCCAACTGACGATGACATGAAAAGAAATAAACTTTGTTGAGCCAACCCAGTGGGATTTTAGGGCTGTCTATTACCACACTATAACCTGATCTATCCTCCCTGATCATGTTTGTGTTTGCCTTTTGTGTCCATACTGCATTAACAAAGTAAAAATAACGCTGCTTTACTTCTCATAAACAAGATCAATTAGCCTGGCAGAAATCCATGAAATTTATTTGCAAAAACACCGGCGCCCTCATAGGTGATATGACCATCTTCCATTCCAACCTCATTAGTTTTCCAGCATCTATTGCTTTTTATGAATTTTCCAAAGATTCTTCTTTTAATGGCTCTTCTCTTCCAGTAGGGTTATCATTAATATAATTATTTCACTGAAACTATTAGTTTTCCTCTTTTTAACTTATTACATATGAAAGCTTAAAATGAACTATGCGAATTGAATGGCTAATTTGCACATCAATGCAACCTAACCAAATTAGCCATGAGGTGTAGTAATTATTCTACTAAAGAATTTTGATGCGGAGCGGAAAAAAGAAAATAAAAATGAGAATTACAAGAATATGATGATGTAATAGGAGTAACTTTTTGCCACACAATTAAAGTCATTTTGTAACAGGTTTCTTTTCAATGAATCTGGAATGGAATTGCAAATCTAGCAAAGGCATATTGTTAATTCCTATGTTTCAAAAGATAAAAATAGGTGTAGCTTAAGGAGAATATTATCACTTATTTTGCGAGCCAAGCAAAGCTAGAATATGCGCGGTCCTAGAATCATGTCTGAGTTTAGATTTCTTCATCTGTAAAGTAAGAGGAAATATATGCTATCTCCTTTTCTCAAGAAATAAGCAAGAACCCATGAGGTAAGCACTATGTTGTATGGGAACAACATAGCATTACCTGCTTAAGGAGTTTGAAGTTCAGTCTCCATAAGGAAGGCTTGTAGTGATATGGGGGGAAGTGAAAAAGAGGAGAACACAGTCAGATTTTTAAAAAGAACTCTCTTGCTATACATTCTAGCATCCACAGCCTTCTTAAGGAATCAGCCACCGCATCTTTGTCACTTAACTTTTTTTAATCGGAACTGACAGATCACTGGAGAATAACTGTAGGGAATAATCCCCACAGTGGCAGAGGGGATGGATTAAATCAACCATGAAAATAAGCACTGGCCCATGTGTCTATAGCCTAAAAGAAATTTGAGTGAACATAGTGCTGTGTTTAAACCAGGCAACACATACTTTGAATCGCCTGTAATATTTTCTCCTGCAAATGTTCATTGGAAGGGAAAGGCAAAGAGAGGCTGCCGTTTTGAAGGCCAGTGTACATTTTGCTTTGTCTGGTAAGTGTAGAGAATTATGTTATTATTTTCTTAGCATAGGAATATCAGATGGACATACTTCTTCTCTTTCCCCCATACCCATAGCTTCCTTTTTAGTGAATAGGGCTTTACTTCTACTCAAAAGATTTACAATTTTCCCTGGAAACACCACACTCCATAAATGTTAGCTATAATTTTAAACCTTTTAACCTTCACTTAAAAGGTGGACTGGCCTTTTGAGAAGAGGTCACCAAGGAAGTTAATAACTGTTTCTCACATTTATGGAGGAAAAATAATGGGATCGAATGTTACGCGAATGCTTCTTTGAGCTGCTTCTTATTCTACCCAAATGTATTTTCTGTCATTTAACTCATATGGTATTAAGCAGAAAAGGTGTCATAGTCAGTGATGTACTCGGACCCTCAAACCTCTCAGAACAAAACAAAAAACCACCCCTGATTATTCCTGTGTTCGAGAATGAGCAGAGCCTAGAGGACAGTCATCCAGGGGTGTCTCATTGCTTTCAACCGTATTCTTCGCTGAACCTCTGGCGAACTCCAGAAGAGAAGGAAACCAGTTATTATGGGAGGGTTAGGATTTGCTGATGAATAGATTTGGTCTCATCTGTCGAACAGATAGATTTCAAATCAAGAATTAATGTTGCCATAGTCTATGACTCCCTGCAGGTTATAGAAAAATCAATCAAGCAAAATCAAAGAACATGTAGAATCTATCCATGGGAATTTAGTCGAAATGCACATTCAAATCCTAGGCATTTTCATTTGATATGCTATTAACACCTTTGTGTTTTTTTTCTAGACTCCCTGAAAGGCTTTGCCTTCAAGAAAACTGTGTTTGTTAAGAAATTCATATGCATTTACCCCTCTTAACACCTATTTACATTTTTAATCAATCCAAGATGTTTACCACACTCACTTAAAGCTTCTCTTCAGCATGAATTAACTAGGTTTCACCACACTGGATAAATTTGATCACATGTTAATCCAGGCAGCCTTATTAGAGTGTCCACTGACAGATAAATGGATAAAGAAAATGTGGTACATATGTATACCATGGAATATTCTTCAGCCATGAGAAAAAAGGAAATCCTGTTTACAACAGGATGCTGTTTACAACAACATGGATGGATCTTGAGGGCATTAAAATAAGCCAGATGGAAAGACAAATATTGTATGATTTTACTTATATGTGGAATCTTTAAAAAAAACAAACCTGAACTTATAGATTCAGAGACCGGATAGGTGGTTGCCAGAGGAGTGGGATTTGGAGTGGATGAAATGGGGGAAGGGGTTCAAAACGTACCAACTTCCAGTTATAAGAGATGTAAGTTCTGGGGATGTAATGTACAGCATAGTGAATACAGTTCATGATACAATATCGTATATTTGAAAATTGCTAAGAGAGAAGATCTTACAAGTTCTCACCTCACAAGGAAAGAACAATTGTAACTCTGTGTGATGATGGATGTGAACTGAAATTTTTGGTGATAATCATCTTGCAATATACACATATATCAATCATAATGTTGTACACCTAAAACTAATAAATTATATGTCAATTATATCTCAAAAAGAAAATTTTATTAAGCTTATTTTGTATTGAAAATCATTCATTATTTCCTCCAGAGATCCTGATATATAAATATATACCTAGTTATATATGCAAGTATGTATGTGCATATACATTGTATATAAGTGCATTGCATGTATATGTACATTGTATATATAGATTGTGTATGTATAAATACATTGTATACATATGTATATGTATTGTATATATGCATATTATGTATATCTACATTATATATACTGTATATATGTGTATATATTTGCACATAGTGTGTATATATTGTATATATGTACATTGTGTATGTATACATTATATGCATGTACTTTTTTTTAAAGATTTTATTTATTTATTTGACAGATAGAAACACAGTGAGAGAGGGAACCCAAGCAGGGAGAGTGGGAGAGGGAGAAGCAGGCTTCTCATGGAGTAGGGAGCCCGATACGGGGCTCGATCCCAGGACCCTGGGACCATGACCTGTGCCGAAGGCAGACGCTTAACGACTGAGCCACCCAGGCGCCCCTGCATATACATTTTTTGTTTACATATAGGTATATAATTTCTTCATTTATAAAGCGGTCATGTTTGACTACAACAGACAGAAACATCTTTAGTTACTCCTAAATGGGCCACTCACAGTATTAGTTCTACATATACATGCGTAAGTTTGAGTCAGAAAAAGCAAGATGATGGCATTCCAAGGTCAAGTGAGTTTGGTGAGTGTTGGATGAAATATGTTAATCAGGTTTCTTTAATGCTGAGATTCCAAGTTATTGATATTCTAATGTTCACTGTGGGTTTCCAAAAATAGAATACAACATGCAGTGTCTCTCAAATTACTTGACCACAGAAGGCTCTTCTTTCATGGTGGTACCATGTTTGGGAATGTGTCTGACTGTGAGGAACTAATGTCTATGGTGGACTTTTCAACAGAAGGTTTATGCCACAGTTGGCATCATCGTTGGATCACAAGGCAAATTCTGTTCCATCCAGCCCAGGGAGCTCAAGGAGCTCACTCTAATTAGTGGCCCAGAACGGATCCAAATATCACTATACTCACTCACACCCAAGAGACAGGTTTATAGAACCAGAATGTCTTTTTTAATTTACAAAGAGAAATATAATTGTCGAGGGAACCTGACATGATCGTCCTTTGGCCAACAATTTCCCTGCTTATAGAAGGACAAACCAGGAAAATCCTAATCTTGGCAGATGTCCAGATGACTGTGAATATGAAATTAGGCATGTCAATTATTCAAAGATAATATGGCCATGAGGGGGTATATCTACCACCTGGACCAGGTAGGTCATGGCCTCAGAACACCATCCTACCCCCACAACTGGTTTCCGTAATGTGTCTCTTTCTGTGCTTCCGATAATAACTAACCTCTGTCTGATGGGTAGTCACTTTCTATTGCTATGTTAAAACTTTCATCAGTTCAAGACTTTCCATGGAACTGAACTGTTTTGTTCAACCCTCTATCACCAGCATTCTCTTCAGTAATTAATTGGCCAAAGTTTTGGAGCCCAGGGACCACATGTCTCTCTAACTTGGCTTGGTGTAGATATAGATATAAATATAGATAGATATACAGATGATATACATTATATCAGTAGGTATGGGATTATATATAGATATGGTGGTATAAGTGTAGATATAGGTGGATACTGTATAAATAGATATGTATGTGGTGGTGTATTTATAGATATAAATAGATATATCCTTGTCTATACAGAGAGATAGTCAAGAGGACCTGATATGACTGTGTTGTGACCAAACTGTTATAGGCGAGTTCCATGGAAATTCATATCCTGTCACTCTGAGGGCATTTCTGAGTACCTTCCTGGGCCTGCTACACAGTATCATCACCTCTGATGGTAATTACTAGATACTGTACTATGGTTCCTAGGAAGTTCTTTGATTCTTGGGCGCTGAAGTCACTTCCACCATTTGAGAATAAGAAGCTTCTGGAGTTTATGCCCCAGACCCACCTGGAGCCGATGACTGCCTGGTGCAGGAGGAGAAGATGAGCTTCAAGACAGGACAGACTCCGAGTGCAGGTCATGCCTCAGAGCCCCTGAGGAGAGGATGAGAAAAGGGGAGGGGTGGGGGGTTCACCTGAAATCTCACCCCTGCTTTGCTTCTTGCCCTTCCCTATCCTGTTTTCCTTTACTCCCTTCCTGGTTTCTTCTGGAAGCGCTTCTTAGTAAATCACTGGCACTTGAGGCCTTGGCTCAGGGTCTGCAGCTGGGAAAAGTCCAATCTATGAGACTGACTTTATAAGGTTGTTGGGAGGATGGATGAGAAATATGAGGGCCTAGAACCATGCCTGGCCCCAGAGAATTAGCTATTGTCCTACAGTATGCAGCCCAAATGTTGAAACTGACTTTCTAAAAAAAACCTTTGTTGATGTTATGCATGCATGTGGTTGAAAGTCATTTCAGTAAGAGGGTTTGTGAAGAAACTACCCTCAGGATTACTCCCTACCCTCAGGATTACTCCTCCAAGGCAATCACACTGAACCATTCCCGGCTTCATTAGGGTCTTACTGGTTTATCTCCGTGTTTATGAATACTTTCCATTTCTATCTGTATCTTGATTTATTAGCTGGATGTCTCATCTGCTCATCTTCTGCTATGGCGTATGGGAGTTTAGCTCAGTTACAACATCTACTTCCTTCTCTTCCCTTCTAAGGGAAGTGTAGTGCTGGTTTTAGTTACGTTTGTAACTTCAAATAGCACCTTTAAATCCCCATTTTTTTCAGTCCCCTATGGAGGGGTCTCTTGATTCCCCACTTAGTGCTCTGCTTCTCACTTCCCCTCCTCCCTCCCAGCAAACTTTCACTTCCATGTTGTCAAGGTTTTTAGTAGCATTTCTGTTCTCATTAAATCTTGTGTGCCTTATTTACAGGCTGTTTCAAAACTTGAAAGCCAGTAAACACTCTTAGCCTTAATATGGCTACCTTCGTATTTCCTGCAGAGCCAAGAAGTATGTTGTGACCACATGCCCTTCTAGTCTGGATTTTAGTGCCACTCAAAGAAAATATTCAAATAGACTCTCCTTTCGTCTTTCACCAAGTGCTCAAAATCATGCCACATCTCACTGCACAACTGGGTCATGTTGTCTGTTTCTTTTGTTGTTCCTTATAAAACCATACCTTGTCCTTATATTGTTTGTTTGTCTTGCCTGAAGTATCTTATTACCCACCTTTTTTTATTGTGAGAAGAAATGTATACTTTCTTTAGGAAGTGGCTACCATCTTCCAGCTTCTTATTTTTCTACAGCATTGAATCCATTCCACCTTTCTTCTTGGAGCTCAGTGACTTCTGGTTCTGATTTGGAACAATCCCTTCATTTCTTGATCATGGCTTTCCCAGACAGCTTTTGTTTTTGCTAAAGTTTCTAGCTTCCTTTCTTTTTTTCCGTATTTTCAAATTCTTCCAAGATCTCAAATATTCTATTGCTTCTATGGAATCTTCCTTTTTTTTTCTGGAGAGAGTTTACCTAAGCCTTGTCTTTATGCTGCAATCTAGACTCGGTGCGTTCTAGAACTTCCAGACACGGTTGTAGTGGGGCTCGCTGGTATTGCTGGCCTGTGTGTCACACACTGCTCCCTGGGTCCTAAATATTCCTCTTTCTTGGCTTACCACATTATTTTGCTGAAGTACCTTTCAATCTCCTAAGAAAAAGGGTGTAAAGATAGGATATGTAAGTTTTGGCAAGTTCCAAAATGGGCCTTACTCTGCTCTTGCTGTTGACAGAAAGTTGAGCCAGCAATGGAACTCTTGGCTGGGAATCATCTTCTTTCAGAACTTTGAAGGCTCTGCTCCACTGATCTTAGCCATACACTTTTGCTAATGGGAGGTCTGATGCCAGTTTGACTTATGTTGCTTTGTAGATTGCCTCTTTCTTGTCTCTCTGAAATCCTCTTAAGTTTTTCAAAAATTGTTATCTTTGGTATTCTGCAATTCCATGGGGGGAAGGATCAGGATGTGGGCCTCTCTTCTTTCAACTTGGTTGGAACACAGTTGGAAGCTGGAATGACTTCCTAAGGGCTTGGAAGAGTATTGAGAGCTCAGTGTATTGGGGTGAGATTGAGAACTGACTGGCTCCTTTAGGGTACATAAAAAGAGGACTTTACTTTGATGTGCCCACATCCACATTGGAAACCCTAATTCTTTCCCAGACATGCTTTTCAATTTCTTTAGGGGAGAGCCTTCCCATGATTTTTCCTGAGAGTTTAGGTTGGCCTAGCTGTGGTGATAGTAGGAGATCAGTTGTCACCAAAGGGCCCCCTGGCAAATCCTGCTGGGAGTTCCAGCGGGCCCGGCCACCTCTAAGTCCCTACCCTCCCTGATGCATCCTGGGAAGGTGCAGCTGCCTTTGGGATGGCTCATGACACAACTTCTTCCTTTTGCTTTGCTACGGGCACTCCTTTGCTTTTCATCTTCCTTGTTTAACAGGGCAACTAAAAGCAAACATTATGTCTCACACTTAAATATTTGTTAAAATACTCCAACAAGAGTACTCCCAAAAATGTCCACAAAGGCAGTAATGGGTGGCAAATTGTCCTCATATCTAAAAGAATGTGCTAAAGATACTGAAAGATTCCTAGGTGTCTGTTTTCCCTTTTTTTCCAGTGATTTTGTTTCTGTATTTCTTTGCTAGTGGAAGAACAGATTCATTTTTCGGAAGAACATTTATGGAGAGATGGCAAAGCAAGATGCTCTGGTTGAAGACCAAAGGAAGAGCCACCCCCTCCGGTCTGGGCTACTGGGAGCCCCAAGGGCAAGGGCTCTGGATCCCCTGGGTGGTGCTTTAGAGTGCAGATTTTGGCCTACTGTCTGGAATCCGCTTTTCTAACAAGCTCCCCAGGTGATTCTGTCCACAATTTGAGATAGGCTACTGGAGTTGGCCAAAACAACCCACATAAGAAAGAAGCTTGCGTGGTTCAGCATCAGCCGGTAAATTGTAGGGATTTTTAATTGGAAGAATTTTTTTCTTTGTTTTCTCTTGATATCGCAGCAGATACTGAGATCCCTGCCTTAAATGCAAAAGAAACAAACAACAGATTAAAAACACTGTTTTTCCCATCCACTTAACGAAGCTTCTGTCCACCGGTGCCGGCTGGAAATGCCCTTAATGAGGGAACCAAAATGTTCCTGACCTGTGCACTTGCTTCCGCCATCTTGGATGTGATTTTCTGGAGCGCTGGGGGAGAGTAGATATCCAACTTTACCAACTCAAGTTCCTCTGGTTGGGTTGTTCTAGATTCCATTCTTTTTGCTTCCCTGAGGGATTTTAGTGGGCAACAGAATCGAACAATAAATACAGCATTAGGGAAGAAAAGGCTACACCAGGAAGCATGAGTTTTCTTTTTGGTGGCCCGTAAGTCCCTTGATTTGTAAGACTGAACGGATCTAGGAGTCGAGTTGTTGTTCCCGATGAAGAACAAATCCATCTGGAGAACTCTTCGCTGCCACCAACAATGCCTTAAAGACAGCAATGTCACAGAGTTCTATGGGCAACATAAGCTGATACCCTACTTGGTTACTTTCCTTAAAATGTCAAGAAGCTGAGCCCAGTGAGGCTGCTGCCTGATGTCTAAGTGTAGACGAGACATTCTCTTACCATGAAGGCAAACTTGTAACACAAATCAGTTGTACCATGGCCCTTCCCCACCCCCATTCTGCTCAGACCTCTCACCTCCCTTCCAGCAAACTCCATGTCTCTGTTCCTTATAACGACTCATGTCCCACACTCAAATTGGCATCTTTATCTTCAAACACACATTTGCACTTTGTATCAGCAGGCTTTCCAAAATGTTTTGCCTGCAGCGAGACAGAGGTACAACTGTACATGCTTTCCCAGGAGCTGAACGATTCATCACTGAGCAGACACTTCCAAATTAGCCTCTGTTGTCAGGTGCCTTCTCAAGAGCAAAGCGTCAGAGGGCACCCCTGTATGAGTGAGGAGTCAGAAGGAAACAGGCTGGCCCATCCATACAACTGATTCTGTTACGTTCAGGGCTTGGAAGGGGCACCTAAGATTGAGTCATCCGTAGTACTCGCTAGCAACATAAACTCGGGAAGGTCAAGCTGTGTGAACTTCCGAGACCAAGGTCAATATGTATAACATGGCAATGGTATTGTCTATCCATGCGGTTATCTGGGAAAGCTAATTCGTCCATATTAAATGAAAGTACAGTGGGCACTGCGTTTTCCTCCCTTTGTCGCCTGGCGTCTTGCCGCCGGGCATCCAGCGGCCCCACCTGTGTCCCTCCCTCTGCTCCACCAGGCAC